AAATATATTAAAAAATAAATCTTTATAATTTTTTTTAAAAATTCAATAAAATAAAAAAATACAAATCAATAGAAAACAAAAATTGTATTTAGTGAAAATTTTTAAAAAATTTCACAAATTTTCTACTTTTTCAGTATATATTGAGATTAAGTGGATAAAAAAAAATGATTAATTTATTTAAAAACAATTCACAAATCAAAAAATATGAATTAAAAACTCTTAATTATTTTTGAAACTGTAAAATCAAAATATTAATGTTTTTCGAAATAATTGTTAAGGTAGATAATGAATCCTAATTTTTCTCTCCCATATATAAAGAAAATATATAATTTTTTTTTTTTATTTTAAATTATGTGTAGCATACTAGCATTATTGAATTATTTAGAGGTGAACTAAGACTTACACCAACGACCTTCACATTCAAGTCCAGAAATATCAACATCAAGACACGGGTTAAGTCCAAAATTTTTTTATTTTTTTTTGAAATTTTTTAATTTTTAATCATGTGGGATTGTGAAGATGTTTCAAAACTTAATTGTTCCTTGTGTTCCTGCATGCATTGATTTCTTATCTTCCTTTGAGACTTATATTCTAACAACTTTTCTTACAATTGTTACAGAAGTAAAGTACAAAAATTAAAATAATAAAATTTTAAATAAGACTTTCGAAATGGACACGAAAAAAAAATAGAAAATAAAGAAACAAATTTTCTTTTCTTTGTTTTTTTTTTTTTTTTTTTTGTGTTCAGGTTGGAAGGTAATGGTTGAAAAATAGTGGTTGAAAGAATAATAATTAATCTGAGCAAAAGCTAGTTGAGCCACAAGAGAAGCAACCTGATCATTGGAAAAAACATTGTTATTATTCCTCAAAAAAAAAAAAAAATGTTGAATTATAATTTTTTACATGGTTCATTGCTAAAATATTAACTTTACGTCATATGTATTTAGCTAACCATTGGAGAACTTCTTAAACACTAAAACTGATTCATGAATAGCTAAGTTAAAATGAATGTAGTTTTCTCTTTTTGTTTCACCTTCTTTTTTTCTCTTTTAAAGACTACTCGTCGCCCAGAAACATCATCTACATAAATATAAAATTGTTGCCAAAAACAAAAAACAAAAAAAAAAAAAAAAAAGAAAAATATAGTTAATTGCGGACCCACAGTGGGACTGGGGTGCCATCGCCAACCCCAGCCTTTGGAAAATTACACTACTAGCTCTATATTCATAAGTATTTGTAAAATGTATCATTGGATTGTCTCTTAATTTTTTCAAAATCTTTCTATTAATTTTATATTTCATTAATGTTTCACAATGTATAATGAGATGATTTCTAACTAATTGGTATGCTACTTAGCATCAATAAGATTTACTTAATTTTATTTATAGAATAGGTCATTTCTTTCTATTTTTATTTCAAAAATAAAAAGTACGCTTACATTTTATTTCCTAGATATTGTCAACCAACAAAATAGCTTTACTAATATTTCACAAATTTAGAAAAGAATTAAAAAGAAAAAAGAAATTATTAGATTTATTTGTTTGTTTTTTTTCTCATAAAGCAATTTTTTCACAAACCTCATGTGAGAAATTACTCTCTATCGGTAATGTACCAATTATTTTTTCCTTTTTCTTTTTTCACACAATCACATTGGTCTCCCTAGACATAATTTCTCATTTAGGAAAATGTTTAAAACCCATAAAAAATCTCTCACAATGTGACCTACAATGATGTGGCATTATACATATAAACTTTTAGTTTGTCATTTCTCAGTTGTGCAGAGTTTATCTCTCTTGTCATATCATTGTAGATTGAATTAAGGATTCAAATTGTGAGTCTCTAATATAGTCTTTTGTTTCCACCCATGAATATAGTGTCCATTCCTTAATTCTATTATTCTAAAACTCACCGTTGACATTTAAACTTTGAAATTGTGGGTCTCTCTTGTCTTTTGTTTCAATTTTCTTGGAAATCGGAATGGCTGAAAAGCATGATGAATCCAACTTAGAACTTTCATCAGAATTGGCAGAGAGAATGAGAAAAAAGAGAAACACGGGAGTAAGTGCAGCCATGCCAATCTATGGTGGGGAAAAATAGAAGAGAATGTGAAGAAAATGGAACAAGATGGGTCTGGTATTTATGACTGCCAGATAGTCTATAAACCCAAAAACAGATCTGAGAAACTGAATTTTAGAATATAACAGGAAGTTACACTTTCTGCTGACTAAAATTTTTATTGCAAAAAAGTTATTTTTAATCAGCGTAAGCATTTTTGCGACAAAAAATTTTGGTCGATAACCACTACAATAAAATTGATTTTTCACAGCTTGCAATGCATGCCGTAAAAACTCTTTCACGGCATGTATACAAATGCCATTATATGACACACCGTGAAAAGTTGAGTTTTGTTTACGGCATACAGATAAAGTTATAAAAAAGTAATAAATTAAACATTAATAACATACTTTGTATGTCGAACATAATTTTTTACGACATTTTTATCATGTCATAAATCATCATACTTTCCATGGCATAATGTTAAATGTTGTAGAAGATTATTTTTAACATATTTATGGCATCCTTTGTATGTCATGTATAATATTTTACGGTATTTTCTTGCATGTCATAAATCATCACGTTTCACAACATAATTTTGTAGGCCTTAAGTCATTTTTAATATATTTATGACGTACTTTGTATGCCGTATATAATTTTTTACAGCATTTTCTTACATGTCATAAATCATTACACTGCTCATAACATAATTTTATATGCCTTAGAATGTTATTTTTAATATATAATATGTATACAGAAATATAACATTGCCTAACATTATGCAAATAGTAGCTTATAAAATGCAATCTGTGAACAAACCAAGCAAAAAACAGCAACTATGAAGTAAGCAAAAAAATCTAATACCCATACACCAAACGACCTGCATACTAGCTTCCATCTTTAACTTTTATCATATCAAGCTAATAACAACCTCAAACATACAAACCAAGAAAAATATCCAAATCTTTACTAATTTATAAAATACGACTTTAAACATCCAAAAAGCATAACTACAAATCGTAAATCAATTATTCTAATATTTAGTCCAAAAAAATGAATTGACTAGGCCATGCAACTGTACTTCCTATTACATCTTGAAGATCATCCATTGTCGTAGCAATTATAGCTTCAGGCTCCTTCCTAATTCTTTTCTCAGCTTTTTTTGAATTCTGTGCAATACACTAGGAAAAATAAGAAATAATAGGGACAACAATTGGTTATAAATTCAATTTTATGTTAAATGAGAAATAAAGTACCTCTCCACTCATCTTGCTAGTTGACAATTTCATGATTCACCTGTTAATAAGAAAATGGGTATTCACATTAACAATCAGATCAGCAACAAGAACAATTAGATCAGCAACAAAAGAGATAAAACACACCAACTACATAAATTATATCAACACTACAACAAAACAGGGTACCAAGAGTAGATTGAGAGTACTAAGCAAAGCTCTGGTATTATTTGAATAAAATGAAGAACATCAAATTTAACACATGTTCTCATGCTTTAATAGCCCAAGTGTCTAAATGTAACAGAGCCTAGATGAAAACACTATATCAAATTATAGCTAGAGAGAGTCTTACATCCATGCTCTTCACTACATCGGGCAGACATTCATGTCATAAATTCACTCTAATATTGTATTTGGAACTAGGTAAAAGGAATTTTTTTTCAAAACTCTTGTCCCTTTAAAATAACATTTCCATATGTCCACCACTAATACACACATATAAATAGAACGAAACTTAATATCACCTAGCATAGTTTAGTTAATTAATTTAGATATTTTATTGATGCAATTTCCACTTCCCAAAAAGTAACGGAAAAAAATATCTTTCATTTTTTTAATTTATTTTATTTCCCCCCTTTTCACTATGTGAATGAGGAGTTTTTTTTTTTTTACCAACAAAGAAAAGGGAAACTTTATTGATGAGGCGAGCAAATACAAGCAACAATAAACATCAATAAAGAAGGGAAGTGCAAAAAACATCATAGCTAAACTCTACAATCCCAACTAGGCTGGCACCAAGGAGGAAGCACAATCATATGGTAGCACTAAACCCACAGATTGGCGAGAAACCAATCCAAAACAGAGAAACAAAAAGGAAAACAGGAAAAAAACGGACCAACCACACCGCAACGACAACCATCCAACTCTGCCAACTCCTTCCCTTATAAAATCTTCCAGCAACTTCTAAACAATACACCATCAATCTCCTTGCCACAGGAACAGGCACCAGTATTTAACACCCAAGGTAGCAACAAGCAGCACCAATAGACAGCAGCACCAACAGCACCCAAGGTAGCAAAACAACAGCTATAACAGCATGTCAACCCAGCAAACATCAGCAACAGCATTTCAACCCTGCAAACATTAGCAACTGCATGACAACCCAACAAACAAAAAACACAGAAGCTATAACAGGACTGCTAACAAACTGATAAGTGCACCAAGTACACAGCTACAGCAGCACACTACTACTGCAAACTGTTACTGCACATGACAGCAAACACCAGCAACAAGAGAACCAGCAACAATAGGACCAGCAGCAGCAGTTCATAACAGCAAAAACACCAGCAGAGGGCTTCCCATAACAAGTCCACAGCAGTGGGACTACGCACCCAGCAACTGGACTACACACACAGCAACAGCAGGACTTGACAGCAAAACCAGCACAGGGCGTCCCAGAACACTGCCACCACAGTGCCCCAGTACACACCCTTCACCTCAAGCAATGTCTGACCTGTTGAAGATTATGAACAAAATCATGCACTCCGTACTGCACACCTGGTAAATTGTTCTTAGCCCAAAATGCAATCCTGGTCTTCACAATGTCCTCCAAATCATCAAAATTAGGATGGCCACTGTTAAACAATATATCATTCCTTAACTACCAAATTGGCAAAATAAAACTAGCGGCACAATTTTCCACACCTTCACCTCTTTTTTCTTAACCAAAGCCCCTGCCCACCACTGAAACAAAGCCTCAATCGACCCAGGAATTACCCACCACATATCCCACCATCTTATATGTGAATGAGGAGTTGAGCCTGTAACATTACCTGATTTACACTAGTGGTGGCAAAGAACAATTACCAGTTCTTCAATTTCATAGATGTGACTTTAATTCTTCATTTACCAAAAAGAGAAGAACGATAATTCAGAATTTTAGATATAAAAGGTAAGTAAAAAAGAGAAAAGAAAACTACATACTTCACCGTTAATGAGGATGCTGTTTATGACTATCTGGGCAGGTCCCATTAAAGGCTTTGCGAACTTAGCAAGTAGCAGAATATTTATGTCAGTCCCAATTAAAACCCAAGCGCATGATTCACTGTCAAAATACAGTTTGACAACCATGAGCTTTCTTCCATTTACAAAAACTTGAAAAAGATAAATAAAGGAGTAGCAGGCTTATGAAAAAAAACATAATGTATAATGGTCATAATAGTTAACCTCGAGGAACCACAAAAAAGTTAGGCAGCAGAACCACAAAAAAGCTCGGCAGCAGAATATTTTAGTAATTAGGGGTATGAAATGGAAAAAGGGTGGCATGGCCCAATGGTAAGACTTGCCAAATGAAAAGGTGTTAGAGAAACTTTTAGCTTACTCATAAAAATAAAAATTTCAAAAGTCACGGGTTGGAGCTCACCAGTTTATCAAATAACTTCCTCATTTAGCAGCCAACTTAAATAAATAATAAATTTAAAAATAAAATAATAAATAAACAGCTCTAGCTCAGCTAGTGTCAAAGCAGGTCTAGAGTCTTACTGCACAGGAAGAAATTTCACCAATGGGGGTAACAAAGGTATAGTTGGACATGTCAGCATAGGAAACAAATAAGAGGATTAATTTCAAGCAGGTTGAAGTCAGTAATTTAGCACAATATAAACGCAAGGGCTTCAAAGCATTAAGCATTCTAAATTAGATATTTATTTTTTCTGATGAAATAGCATTCTTGTTTTCGTAATCTCTTCCCCAAGAATCTCATATTAGTTCATCGGGCAACCGTTTTAACCATGCATATAAGCCATATATTGCACCATCAAAATCCACTATTCTACCGCCCTCAAATAGTAAATAGCTCCATGTGACATTCATTAAACAAATACGGAAACCAAAATCCCAAATGTCTACCCTTTCCAGAACCTGAACAGTTTGAACATCGTTCAGTTTTAGGAGTTGCTAGGTGCTGATCTCCACCATTAACAGTTGAAACTGGTTCAACAAGGACAAGCACTCCTGAGCTTGAACAGCGAGCACTAGCAAGATATCCTGCATAAACTAGATGATCAGCATATAAGCACAGCAAGTATAGACTAGAACAAGCAAAAAGAATAGCTCCCTGGTTTGTAAGATAGACGGGACCAAGAAAACTAGCACGCAGCGGCTTAAACAAATGCAGAGAAAACTTCTTTTAGTGGTCAAGAAGATGGAAGTAGGACAAAAAAAAGACAAAAAAGATGAAGGATAATTGGAATTATTAAAGAGAATCTCTTGAGTCTATAGTAAGACGCCAAATTAAGGAATGTAGACCATATATAAGCCTACAATAAATTGGGTCTTGAATGACGAATTTTGTTTGTTGCCAAAGAGCTAATTTCGTCACTATAGATATTTGTGAGGAAATATTTTCCTCACTGGTTTCGTCATTGAATGTTTATCACTAAAAAGCATCGTAACAAAAAATAATTTCGTCACCAATGAAATTACTTCAGTGACGAAATTTTTTGTCACCAATAAAATAACATTTTGTCGCAAAAAATCCTCATTTTTGTCGCCAAATAATTATTCAGTACCATATTTATAACTTTAATTAACGAATAAATTTCACATGTTGATCATTGATGATAAAATAATTTCGTTACAGTAAGATGTAAAGTTGACAAAATTTTTCATCTCCAAATGTCATATTTTATATTTCAATTTAGATTATTATTTCACAAATATCCTGTTCCTATCCCAAAAGGCTTTTAAATGTACTAAGAAATCCACTAGCTATTATACACTCCACAAAAAAATTCACTAAACAATTTATAATATAAATCAAAATATATCCATCAAACAAATTTAATAATAATCCATTAAGTATAACAAAAAAACTATCAAAGCAAATCCCAAAATGAACTAACATGGAGTCTATAAAAAAAAATCAACACTCGATCTTGATTTGTAGAAGTATCAGTTCAGGAAAAAAAAAATTCAACACTTGATTTTGATTTGCAAGTATGCTTCCAAACGTCATCAAAAACCAATCTGCAAAAAAAATAAACAAGAAAAACATTAGCATATTATCAATTACATTGTATAGACCTCTCTATCCATGTCAATACAAATTGTGTACACAATCTGCACTCGGTAAACAAAATGTGATTAAATTCTAGAGAGGAACTTAATAATGCACTTAAGGAGCTATGCATATAAGAAATGAACGATACCAATAGAATTGATAGCCACATGTGACAATTCCAATGAATGCCTTGACACTAAAATTTAGTACTTATGGCCTATTATTGCAGTTCGTACTCTGTTTGATTTCTCTTTACTCAACTATATACGAAGTCCAGAGAAGTTAAAGCAAGATATGCTAATTTAAGGATGTAATATTCCAATTTTCATTAAATATATATCCCACTGCCAAAAAGAGTGTTTCCTCTCTTATCAAATGCAGTGATAATTATAATGTATTATTCAATAACATAAGTAGTAAATGGACAAATATAGGGTCCTGATCACCAATTCACCATAAACTCATTTCTAGGCACTAACTTTAAGTTCAGAATCAATTTGCCTATTACTTGTACAAATGAAGTCTTAAGTGCCAAAATCTGGCACTTAGTAAAACATTTAAATCTAAAGTTTGCAAGAATCCGCCGGTTCATAAAACTGCCCAAATTCAAGCAGCCAGTCAAAACTTTCCAACATAACAAGGAAATTTCTCAGGATGGGAAAATTAGGGAAACAAAACAGATTGCACAATTACTAAATATTAGTAAACGTAATTAAATAGATAACAAATTTATGGAGCAGGACTAGCATAATCAAGCCACGTCAGCTAATAAACCTTTGCTAGAAATCTATTGACAATCCCCCCCCCTCCCTTTCTATCTACAACAAATAACCTATCTGTTTACTGTGCAGGAAAGAAACTCCAGAATTTTTCAATCTATTAGCTCTCCTGTTGAGGTATTTCAGAGGAGAATTGTCAATCCTGTAAGGTTTAGAATTCTTTCTGTGAAGAACTTTAATAAGAATGCTGCTAGTGATTGGTTTATGGACAGATGGAGGCTCCCTTCCTCTGTACTGAAACTAGGGTGCTTTCTTATGGCTATGGCACTAACGCTCTGAATCTTATATGCTTGGACTTACTACTCTTGTAGGTCTCCTTAGGCTGTGGGTGCTTGTTGGCTGGAGCTGCTCCTTGTTTCCTCTAATGAGCTTCTTTGCAGGTCCTGCTGGTACCTCTTCAGGGATGCTGAGGGTTGAGTGATGTGATATTTAGGTTGAGGGTTGAGTGTTGTGCGCCCAAAATGCTTATCCATATTGCATTGTTCTCATATGTTTATCTAATTGTTTTCTCTGCAGTGTCTAGCTAGTACTGCTTGTAAGGAGAGTGAGGGTTAAGATTGGTGAGGCCAGATATGTTAGGTTACTGTATTTCTTGGATATTTGAGTGATGTGAGTTCCTATATGTGGGCTGAGTGAAAGTGAGCACATATGTTTTAACTAATTGTTTTCTCTACAGGTTGTCAAGCTGGCCTTTTGGTGAGGGAATTCTTTGGTTATGCGTTGAGTGAATTCAGGATATATCTTTGTTGAGTGCCTCTTCCTTTGTGGGTTGAGTGAAGTGAGCCCTATATGTGTTGTGGTGTGTTACCTGCAAATGAAATAGAGTATTGTTCCAAAAGTATTGAATAATTTCTCCTTCACTATCAATTTAGGGAAAAAAATTTGGGACCTATCTATCTCTCTCCCCTCCCTCATGAATCTACCTCTTTGTCGTCAATAAAGTGGCTCTCTCCTCTCTCTGGAGTGTACATCTTTGTTATTATTACATTGGGCCAGTTATAAAATAAAACAAAGAAATATACAAGATTACAAGAGGCATTCCTAAGGCAAACAACAAACCAACCCAAAACAAAGAGGCATAAGAAGCTAACCCTAGCGAAAAGAACCAGCCAAAAAAAATAACTAAGCAACCTACCCAGGGAAAACAACAAACAAAACAAAGCCTAACAAAAAGATGCAGAACTCAATGCCCCACAAAGAAGCACCAGCAAAGCACTACTAAACTAAATTTTAGGCCTATTATCTTTCCTCTTATCAAACACATCTTTGGGAATGGGTGTAATACTTTCCTTTGGCATGATAATTGGCACACTTTAGGTTCTTTGTGGTCTAAGTTTGGTGAGAGGATCATCTATGATTCTGCTATTCATAGTGATTCTAAGGTCAGTGCTGTTATTGAGAAAAACTCCTGGAAGTGGCCAGTGGTTTGCTCTTGGGAAATGAAGGAGTTAATTGATAACATTCCTCTATCCCTTACATCCCAGTCAGGATGATGATAAAGTTCTGTGGACTCCTGCCCCCAATGGTGAATTCTCTATCAAATCTACTTGGAATTCTTGGAGGAAATCTTCTGCCAAAGTTCCTTGGGCTCATGTTGTTTGGGGCTCACGTATTATCCCAAAGCTAGCTTTGTTACTTGGATGGCTATTCACTGCAGGCTTAATACAGGGGACAGGCTTTATCTATTTGGTTTATCCCAACATGTGAATTGTGTCTTTTGCCAGAACACTTATGAAGATCATAATCATCTATTTTTTCACTGTCCTATCTCTGATAGAGTGTGGAGTCAGCTGAAATCTATGATTAATGAATCTTGGCCTAGTCTTCTTTGGCCTGAGTTGGTGGAACATATCTCTAAAGCTGTTAAGGGGAATTCTATGGGCACTATTATTTCTAAGCTTGTTTTTACTTGCACAATTTACCAGCTGTGGCTTGCTAGGTGTTGTAGTGCAATAACACTCCCAAGAACCTCAGCTCAAAGATGGTGGTGCGTTGCTAGGTGTTGTAGTGCAAAAATGAAGAGAAATCTCACTTTAAGGCACAAACCAACACAATATAGAGAGAGGAAGAAATATATAGAGAGAGATATCAGATTTTCAGAACCTCTGGAAAGGGAGAGGGGTCTCCCTTCTTATAGAAAATCAAGTCCCAAGCTTGTTGAACAAGCTAGGACTTGGTTTGAATCCATCCATACACGTGTATGGAGGATACACCAAGTGGCCAACAGCTGGCACCAGCTGAAAGAAAAATATCTGCAAAAGCAGAAAGAGGGGTCTCGGCCAAAAAAATGGCCGATCGAGCAAAAAGAGTGCTGATCGGCCAACACTGATGTCCGATGGAGAGAAAACATGACCGATAAGCATAAGGCTTGGCCGATGGGTTGTAGGGCTGGCCAACTAGCCACCCTCTTCCCTCAGAAAAAAAACCACAAGCTCTTGGTACACAACCAAGCACAAAACAGACAGGTTGAGAGGTTCTAAGACAAGGCACGCAGCCGAGACCTTCGGGAACTCAAAACGAACACGAGCATGGATGATCATCGAGTGTTCAAACGATGACGTCCAACTCTAGAGGACGGTCAAAAATGGGGTGTCTACACAAGGATGCTCAAATAGCTAGGCATGGTATCCAAGAAGAATCAGGAGGCTGGCCCAGCTAGCAAGGATGATCACAGAAGCAAAAGAATCAATCCAACTCATAACCTAAGTAATCGATTTTATTTTTTTATGAATAACCTAAGTAGAAAAACCAATAAAATAAACAGATATTAAACAAACATTCAAATATAGAGAGGAGTTGAACCCTAATTTTATTAAAAATACTGATTAAATAGCTTATATGAATGACTAAGAAAAAGAAAACAAGGTCAACTTCTTTCCTAACCTTGGTTGATTGCAAATTGCAATAGTGTTTTGGTCCAGCAAGCCAACAAGGATTTTTCTATATAACAAGCAACCATTATCTAATAGATAACAAACTTGTGTTGGGTCAATCTTAATTTACGGTTCATTATTAAAGTGCTAGTTGCATTTAAAAGTTTTCCTACTGATATACAAACACACTTCAGAACCTCAGTTAAGATCTGGGAAAAAATGACCAAATTACAAGAACTATAATAATGAATTTCAATCAAACCAGATTCAGACCCAAAAAAGCATGATTAGGCATATATAATGTGCTTGTGTCTATCTGTGTATATCAATGTCAATCTTTGCGGCAATATATACTTGCCTAATCATGTAATTTTGAGGCAGAATTGCTCTGGCTATAATATTTATCAGCAATATTACAAATTTTTTTAAAAAATACTTAGAAAACATTTAGATAAATATATATATAAATCACAGTCATTCTAGATAACATTCACATCATTCTAATTTTAAATGTATATCATATAATTCATATTCAGATAAAATTTCAGATACCTTTTTTTGTGTATATCATATATCATATATCAGCAATACTAATTTTATTCACAGATTTTTTCACAAAATAATTCTTTCACAAAATTTTATTCACAGATTCATTAAATCATCAACCATATAATTCTTTCACAAAATTTTTAGATAATGTCTCCAACAATTCTACTCAAAAGTTAAACTCGAAAAACAAACAAAGAATGGGATCCTAGTTTCTGTTAGATATGGAAAAAGTAATTGATGCATATATGTCAATCTGTTAATAAGCAAAGCAATATTTTCTCCAGAAGAATAGAGAGAAAAAACAAACTCAGATTTGAAAAAAAAAAAAATGCAGCAAAAGAAGAAATGAAGGAATTTGCATTACATGATTGAAACTCATATTTGAATATCTCTTAAAAACCCATCACAAAACTCAGATTTGAACAAGATTGAAAACCCATTACAAAACATGTGAACAATACAAGTGAATATATATATATATATATATCTTCTCTTTCCAGCCCTAGAAAACACAGAAACACCAAATCAAGAAGCAAAAGATCCAAATCTAGAGACCCATTTCGTGAAAAACACTACAAAGAAACCCAAAACAGAGAATAAGAGAGAGAGCAGAAAAAGAGCAAGGAGAAATCACGTACCAAATCGGCGAGAGGAGAAGATGCGGCGGTTACCGGAAAGGCTACTAGTGGCGGTGGCGACCGGCAAGGCTAATAAAGCGACGACGATGGCGATCGGCGTGGTGGAGGAGCAAGAGGTGAGACAAATAATACCCTATTTTGAGAGAGAGAGAGAGAGAGAGAGAGATGATAAACAGAAAAAGAGAGAGATGATAACGGGTGAAAAAATTAATGCCCTATTTTTTTCATTGCGGCTTAATACATCAACATTTTCCCATCAAAATTGAGAACATTATTTCCTCATAAAAGATCTCAAAAATATTAAAAAAAGTTTGTGCCGAAAATATATTCTTCACAAATAATTTTATAATTAGTGATAAATTTTTTTCTCATCAAAAGTCTCAAAATTTTGACGACATCCAAAAAAATTAGCGGGAAAATTTTTTGTAACCAAACTTGATTTTTTTCCATCTAAAAGAAAGTATTTATTGACGAAAATAAATTTCGTCATCTATCATTTTTATTTTTTTATTATATGTGACAAAATTTATAAATTCCTCACTAATTATTTTTATTTAGTGACGAAATTTATTTTCTTCACTAGTTTTCGTCACCATTATTTAGTGACGAAATTTATTTTCTTCACTAGTTTTTGTCACCAGGAGGTGCTGATGGAAGAGAACACGAGGCACTAAAGGAAATGGGCAAGCGAGCTCAGAGATGCGACATCGGCAACAGCACTGAAGGAGGAGAACAGGCGACATCGGCGATGGCACGAGAGAAGAACACGTTGAAGGAGGACTAACCAGTGTTTTGTTTTGAGAGAGTGATATGAGAGGGAAAAAAAAAAAAAAAACAACGAAACAAAAAAACAAAAATAAAAAAGGGGGGGGGGGGGGGGAAATTAGTAATCTATTTTTTTTCTGCCAATTTGTCAAAAATTTTCCTCTAAAATTAGTGAATTTGTATTTAGTGTAAAAATTTGTAGTGTAAAAAAAGGGGGGAAAATTTCGTAATTTTTTTTATTTTTTGATATTTAGTGTATTTTTTTAAAAAAAATCACAAACATTATACTTTTAAAGTATATTTATGTTAGGCGTGTCTAAGAATCTAAAAAAAAAAAAAAACTTAAAATATTAAAAAAATTCATTGAAATTATTAAAATACGAAAAATAAAAAAGTAAAATTTTTTGAAACTATTTTCTGAAAACCAAAACCAAACAAGCTGATTACTGACTAAAATATATTTCTCATTAAATAATCTTAAAATATTTAAAATCAAGTTTTTCAAAAAAAAAAATGTAAAATTATTGATGACGAAAATATATTCCTCGCTAATAATTTTATTATTGGTGGCAAATTTTTTTCTCACCAAAAGGCTCAAAATTTTGGCACCATCAAAAAAAATTAGCGGGAAAACCTTTGATGACAAAACTTAATTTTTCTTCACCTAAAAATAAGTATTTATTGACAAAAATAAATTTCGTCACGAATTATTTTTATTTTTTTATTATATGTGACAAAATTTTATAATTCATCCCAAATTATTCTTATTTAGTGAGGAAATTTATTTTCTTCACTATTTTTCATCACCATAGGTTATTTTGTTGTAAACACAACTTGATCTATATTAATGCTTGTAAACATAACCACAACAGATGTCTAGCAATCTCAAACTTACCAAAATACCCTTAACTCTCAAAACATAAGCCTCTAAAGACACAACAAAGTTTCAGGGTTCGATTGTGTAATGAATATATTGTGTTAACATTATATACACCCTAAGCCTCTAAAATCTTCTAGACAAACTGCTCCTGTGCTCCTGCCCATAGTAGTCCAATCAAAGTCTATATAGCTTTACACTGTAATGGCTTCTACAAAATCCTTGAAAGGGTATATTCAAATGTGTAAGTGGCATGTGTAAACTAGAGCAATAAAACAAACGAGCTGTATCAACAAACCAGAATCACCAGAGATTTCATAAACATTAGTTATACTCATTACAAAATTCACTTACACACATATATGTTACATTTTAATAAAACAGTAAAATAGAAATCTGAGCTCATAAAGCACAAGATAAAAATTAAAATTAAAGATTAAAAAAAAATACCAATTACAATTCACTCAAGGACAGTACAATTCACTCAATCTAACAACAAAGTGAACAGCAACATTAGCGCGTATACCAAATTACATTCATAATACTACTCAATTCATCGAATCAACAATACTTGAGGCACTACTACCAAAATGCTGAGAGAGCAATAATAACCAAAGATCATAAGATATCCAATAAGCAATTACACAATCAACACAACAAAAAATGAACGATTTGACTCGGTTCTCTCTTAACTACTTGTTCACCAAAAATCGATACACAATTCTCTCTACATCTGACTCAGATGCACCTATTCAAATCAAAATAAAGACAAAAAATGCAGCTAGATCCAGAGATCTAATCAATAAACAAAAGCATCAAATTTCAACATCGATACAATATATCATTGATTCTAAAATCAATCAACTCACAGTATTGACGAGGGCAACGACGTTAAGGAAAGTGGAAGGGCGGCGTGAGGACGATGAGTTTTCGTTGACATCTTTGTCAGCAAGCAAAGCAGATGCTTGGCGCATCGAATCAGCGAGCTGAGCCAATTCGTCGATCGTGTCCATTGACTCAATGAATTGAAGAACTCGATTAGAGAGAGAGAGAGAGAGAGAGAGAGAGAGAGATGATCAGATCAAAGGAGGATGAAGGATCGCGATGTATGTAGAGAGAGAAAGAAACCCTAGGTTAATACAAAATGAAAATGATGATGGAGAGAGATCCACCGATGATATTTGTGTTGCTGAGTAAGTAGTAGATTTTGGAAGGATAGAAATTTTTAAAAAAATTGAAAATAAAATCATGCCCGGCAACAAAGTTGTTTTTTTATTCAAACTTACACTTCACAAATTGTTGAAGCCTTTCAATCATCTATTCTTTTGAAATCTGTGAGTCCTAAATTTATGAAATGGTGTTTGCCTCCCACAGATGGTTGTGCTCGAGGGGATCCGGACAATGAAGGCTTTGGCAGACTGTTTAGGGATGACTCAGAAATTTGGCTTTATTAATTAAAAATAAGTTTTTTTAAAAAAAATAAAATTAATGTTACAAAAAATAGTTCATGTTTGTGTGTGTAGCTTTTTTAGGGGTTGTTTGGGAAGACCTAAATAAGTGTACTTTTTGTCTTTTTATGAAAAGATGTGCAGAAAAGTAGAGAGGTGATGTGATAGAAAAAGATAAAAAGATAGATTATTTTTGGATTGCCAAACTTGCCCTTAGTAATTTTTTAGACAAGCTTTAAAGTTGTTTTTTTTTTTATAAAATTATAAATATACCCAAATAAGTCTAAAAAAATTATAGCAAAACTAGAGAGAGAGAGAGAGAGAGGGTTTGAGGCAAAACATGTATAGATAGAATGAGAGGAAGATTGGTGAACGGGCCTTAAACTAATGTTTTTGAGATTTTTTGTTTTTGTTTTAGTTATTGTACGTTTTTAAATATTTGAAATAATTTTTTTTTTACATTTTAAATTGAAAAAATTTACATATACTTAGAAGAAAAATATTTTTTTAATTTTCTAAAAAAAATACTAAATTCAAAAAATATAAAATTTAATACAATTCATATGTATTATATTTTTTTATAAATATTTTACTTTTTAACTGTATCTAGATTAGGCACATCTAAAAAGTAAAATATAAATAAATTATTGAAAGAAGGGAAAATATCAAATCAAGGTAATTTAAAAAACAATAATTACAAATTAGTGAGAAGCAATATAAATATTAATAATTAAAATTATAAACTTTTTCATGAATATGTAATTTTTTTTCTAAAATTTCACTGGGTGCAATTATCTCTTAAAAGAAGACACTAAATTATAAAATAATGTATAAATTATTTTTTACGTTTAGAAAAATTTAAGGTGGGAACCTTGGTTAGAAATTGTTAGTTATTTTTTAATAAAAAAATAAATAAAAAATTGGATTGAAATCTTTTTTAATAAAAGTTTTCACGACATGCTAATGCATACCCTATAAATTTATAATATTTTACGACATTAAATGTATGTCGCTTTAAATGTAAATATTTTGCAACATATTTTGTATGCTATAAAAATATGCATTTCTACGGCATGCTTTTGCATGCCATAAAAAAAATCGTATTGAATTTTTTTTTTTTTTTGGTAGAAGTTTTCACTACATGTTAATGCATGTCGTGTAAAGTTACAATATTTTACAACATGAAATGTGTATCTTCTTGAGTGCAAATATTTTACGACATATTGTTTAAGTCTCGAAAATATACATTTGTTGCGGCATACTTTTGTATGCTACAAATATATGAATTAACAACTTACATGGCATGTATGTCGTTATTGAAAAACCATTAACAGCTTTAAAAAAAAATGTCGTAGAGTATATTAATTACGACATGCATTTGATGTATGCCATAAAGTTGAAGCTGTAAATAGTTAGTTTTGTTGTAATGAATACATGTGGTCATGGAATGTAATTCATGACTAAAAAAAATCGTTAATTGAATTAATCGACAAAAACAAGTATTTGACGACTAAACTTTTGGCCGTTTGAACATATAACTACAATGACTAAATGATTAAAAACAAATATTTGGTGACTAAACTTTTGGTTGTTGAACATATAACTACCGTACTAAATCATTTAGTAGCTAAAAAGTTAGTCGCCAAAATTACTGTTTCTCCGATCAAAAACGTTAGTGTGAGTAACAATATTTTGAAATCGGACTAGACAGGCTGGTTGAACCGTCAACCAGTCTAAAAGTTCAGTCCGAGTACGGTTCAACTAAATCGGTTGGGCTCCCATTTTGTCAAATGGCAAGCAAATATGCGAAACTATGTTGCTTGGGAGAATTGAGCATAGTAGCATGACAAATAACTACCATACCATATTCAACTTTTGTTTATATTTGATAAATATATATCTATATTACATTTTCTTTCAATCATTAATATAATTGATGTATTTTATATATAATAAATATATTTATGTAATTGTAAATTTATCTTAAATTTTTTTTAAAAAATTAAATCAATGTATCCTAATTCTTATGTTATTATTAAATAAATTTTAATATATTTATAAAATAATTATGACGTTATGGTTTGATTCCAGTTTGGCTCAACAGTTGAACTAGTGATCTCCCCACCGAATCCTTTTTCTGGTTCTCTTACCAACCTGATTTTTAAAACATTAGCCAGTAATGAAACACCGACTGACATTTTTTGCCTTTTTTTTTTTTTTTTTTTTTTTTTTTTTGGGTTTAACTGGACAATTGCTTGGCAACAATACTACAAATCCATAATTATCTATCTAGAATTTGTCCAGAAACAATAATCAATGGTTCAAATTCATTTCACTAGTAAACGCCACACTTCATCAATTTAATTTCCACTATACATACTCATTCTCAGTAAAATCTAGATCCTTAATTATAGGATACCAAACTTTTCCATTGCTCAGCAACCATTAACTGCACTAAAAGTGTATTAACCTAGAAAATAACTTAGAATTTAAGAAAATATTTAAGATCCACAAACAAGTCTCACAAGTGTATCTATAATAATGTGATATTATGCATGCCAATTTTTAATTTGTTATACATCTAATAATATAGGGCCCCTCCCTCTTACCACATCATTGTAAATAGATTTGTAGATTAGAAGTGTAGGTATGTAACATTACTCTAGAATTTAAACCATATATTTAAATTGATATTATTTGTCATGAAAAAATCTTCACATTTGATTATTGATTTTTGACAAATTTTGATTCTTTTTTTTTTTATTTATTTTTTCTAGGCTGTTGAACAAATATTATTTGGACCCAAGCCAGGGCAATGGTATTTACTAATACTGCCCGTCACTGTGTAGGGTATATTGGTCAGTGCTTGTGTTGGGGCTACCTTGCCTAAGTTCAATAGTTAATGATTTGTTTTCTCACACAACTTTTATCTATTTATTTATGTTATCTATATATATAAGAGAAAAAAAAAAGAAAAAAAAAAAGAGTAATACATCTTCCATATAGTTTGGGTAGGGATAAGATCTCTTTCATACCTTATCTCTCTATATCTCTCTATGCTTTTTCTTATAGGTTTCAATTCGAACCCGTATCGATGATCCGAACTGTCTGTCTCGTAAGCCCAATAATAAAGGTCATCCATACAAAAAAATTAACTTTATTAGAAATTAAAAATACAAAAAAAAATTACATTTTATTTTATAAAATGAATGGCAAATATAATACAAAATTTAAATATCTATTTTACAAAACAAAATGTGATTTGTTTCCATATTTATAATTGTCCGATTTTCATGGATGACCTTCATTGCGGGGACTACGAGATAGACAGTTCAGATCATCAATATAGGTCCGAATTAAAACCCATAAAAAGAGTGTGGAGAGGTATAGATAGATGAGTTATGAAGGGGAGCTTATCTTGGTAGAAGGAGAGGTCCAAGAAATAATTTCCATTTTTAGTTAAGATCTCTCAGTATTATTATTTTAGTAGTTTAAGTCGTTTATCCTATCTTTTATATTGTTTAGGTGATTTTTAAACTTTAAACTTTAATGATATAAAATTTATATTTTTAGAATTCTATTGATAAGATCTTTCAAACAAAAATACATGAGTAATATGAAATTCTATAAATAAAAAAAAATTATATTCATAAAATTTCACTAACTTGGTCATTGAAATTTCATGGACCAATTGAAATTCACCAACCTAGGTCAGTTGAAGGTCAGTGAAATTTTACTGACTTGGTTGTCGAACTTTTAAAATTTCACTTACTTAAACAAGTTTTCTCATCGAAGTTTCATTGACTTTGCTTGACTTGGTCATCGAAATTTCACTAATCGACTAAAATTTCACTGAACTAGGCTAGGTTAGTGAAATTTCAATGACTTCACTGATTTGGTCATTAAAATTTCATTGATTAACCAAAATTTCACTAAATCAGACTTGGTCATTGAAATTCACTAACTAATTGAAATTTCAATGACTTGTCTTAGGTTAGTGAAATTGCATCATTTATTTTATTTTATTTTATTTTATAGAATTTTGTATTCATCATGAATATTGTTTTACAAATCTTGAAGAAATGATTTCAAAAATACAAATTTTATAAATTAAAAAAAAAACAAAGATTTAAGGGTATTTGGGATGATCTAAGAGGTGTTTTGAGAAGATGGTTAAAAGCTGTCTTTTTAGTTTTTTTGGCTTTTTTATTTGAAAGGTGACGTGACCCAAAATCGGTTAAAAGTTGACTTTTGGATTTTTTTTGTATGTTCCCAAATGGCCCCTAAATAAGTATATTTTTTTGACTTTTTACGAAAAGATGTGCAAACAAAGTAGGGGTGATGTGATCCAAAAAAAAAATTAAGAAAAAGGTACTAATATAGGGGATGCCACATAGTGTCTTAGATAAAAAAAGTTATAGAATTTTCAAAATTTCAGATGAGTTAAAAAAGTTATAGAATTTTGTCACCATGTGTTTTGGAGGACATAAATTAATACATAAATTACTATTGTCCTTATATTTCTAAAAATATATATATATTATTATGGTTCTTCAATTGAAGACCAAAAAAGAAAAAATTTCAAAAAATATGCAAAATTTGAAATGAGTGTTTTAGATTTCTTTATATTGTGATTTACACCATGTCAAATTTAAATATACACCATAAAATTGGAAAAATATGAATTAAAGTATGAGATTGGACTGTCTCCAGTCCATATTCGGATAGGATAGTCCAGTTCGGCCCAATAGGTTCACTTTTGGGCCCTATTGCGATAATCTGAGCTGTTTAAATTTTAGGATTCGTCGAGTATATTATTCTTGCAAAAAATAAGTCGATTGAATAACGGAAACCATGAATTTGAATCAATTTTGAATGAATGGTTTCTTTCTCACCGTCTAATTTTTTTTTTTATACAAAATTGTTGGCCTTTTTGGCTTTTGAAGGCTAGAAATGTAATTACAGTGTGCTAGCAACGATCAATAACTCTTAC